AACCTTCCTGCACTGGGAACACTTCCCAGGGACACTCCCTGCAGCGTCTGTCACCCTTGTCCCTCCGTCTCCCTCTGCGCAGCCATCCTCGAGGCAGGACGTGGCCGACAATCCAACGGGACACCGGAGGAAACACCAGGGCGACAGTCCTACTGTTATCACCTTACTCTCCTCTTCTTCCGTGTCTTCCGTGGTACACGCCACGTTTCATAAATGAAATACTTCGGAATGGAGGCTCACGTTGTTTAGACGCACACGAGCAGAAAAGTGTGTGTCCTGATGTCCTGTGCTGCGAGTCCAGTGGTTTTTCTACCATGTGACCCTTTCGTGTGCCTCCTTTCCGCATCTGGGGTATCTGGTGACCCCTGGGAGCCAACGCCATCTCCCTCAGCAGCCTGCTCTCCGGTTCCAGTGCTGTGACTGACTTCCTTCCATTTGCCCAGGGAGCTTATGATACATACTTAGGATTTTCCTTATCATTTAGGTCTGTGTATAAACTGTCCTTACTCTGGCACATATTTTAAGCTCATTGAGGGCAGAGAGCAACTTTGGGTGTTTTGGTCTTCCTCTTGCCCTTTCAATGTACTAAACGACTTTATGCATAAATGTATTCCTGGGGCTCAGACCCTGGAAAGCAGATTCGGGATCCCAGCAGGTGAAAAATGCAAGACACAGTTGGGATAGTAGACATGCTTTATTTGAAGGCAGCAGCAACCCCCTGAGTTTTTCCAATAGGTCTTTTTTTTTTTTTTTTTTTTATGTGCAGGCCTAAGAAGACAGTGCCAAGACTTACATAAGTGAGCACATGCTCACAAGCAGATAGTTATGACCTTGAGCACAGATACTGAATCAGAGTGTTTATGACCTTGACTACATACTAAAACATAGCTGGTGGCCATTCTCAGTGAGGGAACCATACTGTAGCACCTTGGGCCTGCCCCACAATAAATGACATTGCTCAGTTTCAGCCAGTGTCCATCTGCAATTTGTCATCATTTACCCCTCTCCTAGTTTTGTTGTTTTTTGTAGTTATTGCTGCTGAAGAATTTTGAAATAAATCCTAGATATTGTGTCGCCCATAAATACTTCCAGATGTATCTCTGAAAGTTGTCACTGAATTAAAAAGGGCTGTTTGGGCTGGGGATGTAGCTCAGTTGTTAGAGTGCTTGCCTCGCATGCACAAAGCCCTGGGTTCAATCACCAGCGTCACACACACAAAAAAAAAGAAAAAGAAAGAAAAGAAAAGAAGGCTGTTCCTTCTCTGAGAAGGTCATGCCCCTCAATCAAGTGAGCATCTTTGCAGAGCAAGATATTTCACATGGACGTAGAAGAGAAAGGGACTGAGAGCCAATGCAAATTTTTGGTGGCATGGTGGCTCCTACAGCTGGGTGGCTGGGGCAGCTAAGCTCAGTGTTCAGGAATCTCAGCCCCCTGGTCATTTGATGAGGGTGAGCAGCTCCTTTATTTGCTGGGACGTATCACACACATACTTTTCTTGCCATTTCTGACCCACTTCATCAGCCCCAAGCTCAGTGCTGCCCTTGGTGCATTCCTGGTTAACTGGTTAAATGACAATGGTGGGTTGGTCAAGTGGGAGGTCTAGTCCTGAGCCTTATCTCCAGGGTGGAGCACACCGAGTTACTTACTGGTTCTGTTCACCAAACATGGGCTGGCAAGCATCACTATGAGGAACAAAGGAAATTCCACTTGCAGATTGTACCACCATTAACCCAGAAGCACACCCATCCTCTCTTAGATTGAAAACCAGGGAGAGATCGTGATGAATTTATACAAAATGATAAAAACTGGCAGCATAAGTCTGGCATGGAGGGAGCGCACTGTGGCTCTGTGAAGCCACCCACAGCTTGGCCTGATGCCAAAGAGCGCCAGCCGCAGATGCTGGCAAGGAGACGCACAGTTCCCACTCCCCGCAGGGTGATCTTTTCATGACCTTTAGAAAATCTGTGTCACAGATAGGCACTCCAGGGTGATCTCTTTCCTGGTGCAGTTTCCTTTTCTCCTGGAGTTTGCCTGAGTCTCCTGGTAAGCTGCACTCAGTCCTGACTGGCCCTGTTGCAACGTGAGCATGAGCGGGTGCTCTTTGTTGGATCATTCAATGTTGATTTCAATGGGCCACCCAAGCGGCTTGTTGCCAAATGACTGATGATTGCAACTTTCTTGACTCACTATCTAGACGAGCTCTAACCAGGTACAAGCCCTCTGGGCTGCTGAACAGGGACCAGGGGAAAAGCCACAGGTGCCCAAGAGATATCTACGAGGCAGAAGCTGCAATGGAGGACCCAGGGAGGAGACAGCCTCCAGGAATCAGGAGCCAGACAGAGGAGCACCCACTGGAAGAGTGTTCAGAAGTCCTGGGGCAGCTGGGGAGGAGTGGAAGGGGGGAGCGAGAGGAATCACTCTGGGCTGTGGGTCCCTTGCTTTGTGACCCTACATTTATCTGCGAGGCAGTAGAATGTGATGACAAGGACGCAGACCCTGGCAGCCCCTGCCAGAGCCTCCATCCTCGCCCTTCACTTCACAGAAGCACCTCCATCTCCTTTGCCTCGGTTTCTTTATCTCCACATGGTGCGTGATTCTGAGGGTGTTTATTTCACTGGTGGTTGTGAGGACTGAGCTAGTGCACTGCAAGGAAAGACTTAGAACAGCTGTGGCATACAGCAGGCGCCGCATCAGCATCAGATGTGCTATGAGTGCAGAAGCTGCTGGGGAGGCCCCCTGGCACTCTGCTCCACGGGCTGAGGCGGGAGGGTGCACCGGAGGCCCCAGGGTTGAGCTCACCCTCTCCCTCCCCCCACCAGCTTCCCGAGACTGTGGCCCCCCAACAGCATGCCTGACCTGAAGTGCGGGGCCAGCGCCAGGCTATCTCCCGAGGGCGGAGCCCCTGGCTCCCCGATTGGCCACTCTGTGGGCACGCGGGCCACGGCGGGTCCCTGAGCCGCTGTGTTCAACCCCACAGAGCCGCCTTCACACCTGGTCCGCCCTCAGAAGCTTCCAGTGAGCCGGGACACAGGTGGGCTGGATCAAAACTGCACCGAGGACGGGGAATGCAGGGACCTCAGCCAGACCCTCCACCGCACCCCCCAGGCCCAGCCGGCCCCAGGTCCTGCAGCTGCTTGTTTATCCATGTGTCGGGAGCTGTTCCCGTGTAACTCAGTTCTCTTCCCTCCCTCCCTCCCTCCCTTCCTCCCTCCTTCCATCCCTCCCTTCCTCCCTCCTTCCATCCCTCCCTTCCTCCCTCCCTCCCTTCCTTCCTCCCTCCCTCCCTCCCTTCCTTCCTCCCTCCCTCCCTCCCTCCCTTCCTTCCTGCCTCCCTCCCTCCCTCCCTTCCTTCCTTCCTTCCTCCCTCCCTCCCTCCCTCCCTTCCTCCCTCCCTCCCTCCCTCCCTTCCTCCCCCCCCCCCCCCCGCCCTCCCCCCCTCCCTCCCTCCCTCCCTCCCTCCCTCCCTTCCTTCCTTCCTCCCTCCCTCCCTCCCTTCCTTCCTCCCTCCCTCCCTCCCTCCCTTCCTTCCTTCCTCCCTCCCTTCCTTCCTCCCTTCCTTCCTCCCTCCCTCCCTCCCTCCCTTCCTTCCTCCCTCCCTCCCTCCCTCCCTTCCTTCCTCCCTCCCTTCCTTCCTCCCTCCCTCCCTCCCTTCCTTCCTCCCTCCCTCCCTCCCTTCCTTCCTTCCTGCCTCCCTCCCTCCCTTCCTCCCTTCCTCCCTTCCTCCCTCCCTCCCTCCCTTCCTCCCTCCCTCCCTCCCTCCCTTCCTTCCTCCCTCCCTCCCTCCCTTCCTTCCTTCCTGCCTCCCTCCCTCCCTTCCTCCCTCCCTCCCTTCCTCCCTTCCTCCCTTCCTCCCTCCCTCCCTCCCTTCCTCCCTCCCTCCCTCCCTCCCTTCCTTCCTCCCTCCCTCCCTCCCTTCCTCCCTCCCTCCCTTCCTCCCTCCCTTCCTCCCTTCCTTCCTTCCTCCCTCCCTCCCTCCCTCCCTCCCTCCCTTCCTTCCTCCCTCCCTCCCTCCCTCCCTCCCCCCCCCCCTCCCTCCCTCCCTCCCCCCCTCCCTCCCTCCTTCCTCCCTCCCTCCCTCCCTTCCTTCCTCCCTCCCTCCCTCCCTTCCTCCCTCCCTCCCTCCCTCCCTCCCTCCCTCCCTCCCTCCCTCCCTTTCTCCCTTCCTCCCTCCCTCCCTTCCTCCCTCCCTCCCTCCCTCCCTCCCTTCCTCCCTTCCTTCCTCCCTCCCTCCCTCCCTTCCTTCCTTCCTTCCTTCCTCCCTCCCTCCCTTCCTCCCTCCCTCCCTCCCTCCCTCCCTTCCTCCCTTCCTTCCTCCCTCCCTCCCTTCCTTCCTTCCTTCCTTCCTCCCTCCCTTCCTTCCTCCCTCCCTCCCTTCCTTCCTTCCTTCCTCCCTCCCTTCCTTCCTCCCTCCCTCCCTCCCTCCCTTCCTCCCTTCCTTCCTCCCTCCCTCCCTCCCTCCCTCCCTTCCTCCCTCCCTCCCTCCCTCCCTCCCTTCCTTCCTTCCTCCCTCCCTCCCTTCCTCCCTTCCTTCCTCCCTCCCTCCCTCCCTCCCTCCCTCCCTCCCTCCCTTCCTTCCTCCCTCCCTCCCTCCCTCCCTTCCTTCCTCCCTCCCTCCCTCCCTCCCTCCCTCCCTTCCTTCCTCCCTCCCTCCCTCCCTCCCTCCCTTCCCCCCTCCCCCCCTCCCTCCCTCCCTCCCTCCCTCTCTTCCTTCCTCCCTCCCTCCCTTCCTCCCTCCCTCCCTCCCTCCCTCCCTTCCTTCCTCCCTCCCTTCCTTCCTTCCTGCGGCCTTTCCTCCCTCCTTTAACGGGGCTGTGTTTGCTGCTCTGCTGTTCTTGGTGGTGGGAGTAATTGCAAACCTCAAGTATGCAAAACCCAGTTGGAAATGTTCAAAAAAGGCGGCCAAATAGGCATTTCCCTTCCAAATAACTAGCTGGATTCCACTGTTGGATTTTAAAAACCTTTATCTTCGCTAAATATTTGACTTTGATTTTCATGTATTTTGAAATAGGTTAAAAGAACAGAGAAATGAACATCGTCCAGAAACATTGATCCTACATTGCACTTAGTGATAAGACTCCTGGGCTGCAGATGAGGGAACTTACCTTTGCTTCTGGTCCTGCCAGGATGGAGCTGTGTGACTTAGAAAGCCATTTGCCCTCTCTGGTCTTATTGTTTCATCTTTCAAATTAAATGGCTTGGGAACCCAGGTGGGAAATTATTATTTTATTGTTGTTTGAATGCTCAGTCCCTCTCCCTGTCCTTCCGGTAGTGAGACCCTTTGCTTCCCTTGGGGACCCTTCCTCTTCCATGCTCACTTATTTCAGACAGGGCTGTTCCAGGAGCTTGAGATTTGGGATCGCCTTTTTGGAAGCAGGTGTGGGAAAAGAGGCTCCCTTATTACATGGAGGGATTACTAGAAAAATGTTGATATTTTAAAGGTGACTAGCAGACCAAACTAGCTATTGCTGCATAACAAATTATTATAGACTTAGTGGCTTAAAACTACGCACCTGTGTTCTCAGGGTCTCTAAGGGCCTGGGGAGTGATATGGCTTGGCTGGGTTCTGAGCATGGCCACCTTCAGCACTGCCCTAGGCTGCCATCAGGTGGGGACCAAGCTACAGAGCCTTCGGGGAGAGCTCCGCCCTCCACTGGCTCCCTCAGGTTTGGGGAAGGATTTATTTACTTCTAGCTACAGGGTGGGGGCTTCGGTTTCTGCCTGGAAGCTGCTCTCAGCAACCAGTTGGCCCACAGTTCCTTGCACATGGCCTCTCTACCACAGTGATCATGCTGGCATGGTCACCTGTACTGGTGACAGGAGGTTCCTGAGCCCTGTGAATCATCTGTGGAGGGATTCTGTCGTGGGGGTGTGGGAGACAGTGGGGCACCGCAGGCTGCCATCCAAGCCGCCTCCCCCATCTCCCCGCAGGGCCTTCCTCCCCTAGCCTGGCAGCCTGGGGAGCTGACCTTTCGTATCCAGGGCTCATGGGTGATGGGAACAGCATGGATCTTCTACTGGACAAACCTGGACTTGGGTCCTGGCTAGTGTTTGCCCAGCAGCCGTGACCCCGTGGCCCTGGTGTTCTCAGGGTCAGTGCAGGGAGATCGACAGCCGTCACACCCTGCGGAGAGGGTCCACATGTGGGTATTAAAGAGCACTTGACTGTGTTTTTTATTCTCCTGGGAATTGGTGTCAGTCCTCCAATCAGATATGCAAGAGGTCGATATTTTTCTTTACTTTTATGGTATTGGAGTTATTTTCTGCTTTGAGCTCTCAACCCTGGGGAGAATAGAAACAGACTGGCTCAGTGCCTTTCCTCAGTGTAAACTCCAGGTCGAGGAGGGCTTATGTGGGGCCATGGAGGGCTCTAGGGCTCATGCTCCCTGGGGTCTCCTCCACCGGTATTCCCGGTGGCCTTTGGCCACCCATTCTGTGTGGCTCACAGTCGGGTGAATCCCCCGGGACTTCAAGCCCTCTTTAGGTCCAGCTAGGGACTGCTCGGATAGAAACCCTGCCAGTCATCCTCAGACCTTTTTGTCACCTTTGAAGCCAACAGGGATTAAAATAGCTTAACCTATGGGGCTCCTGTGAAAATTAATTGGGTTATTACTTAGTGCTGGGAGCACACTGAGTCCTCAATAAATGAGATTTACTTTATCGTGCTGGAGTCGGGGGACACTGTTTGCTCTTCTGCCTGGCTCTTGGTCCCTTAGGCTCTTCCCAGGAAAGGCAGGACTTGGACCCTCTAGTCTTCTCTCCAAGATGAGGGATACAGAGGGCAGGGCCCATGCCCGTCAGAATCTGCGCGCTCTTGGCTTCCGTCTTGGGAGAGGTCCAGCTCTGGGAATCTGCATTAGTCTGGGAGACAGTGAGAGGGCAGGAAGCCTGGCTGCTCCCCAGCATGCGTTCTCCCGAAGAAGCATCTCCACCGGGCTCTGGAACTCGAAGCCAAGTACCAGCTCCTTTGAGGCTTTCTGCTCTGCTGTCCCATCAGTGAGCCACAGATACAGGTGCACAGTGGCAGAACGTGGGAGATGCAGGGGTCAAGGAAGTCATGAGAAGCCCTTTGTCAATATTCGCAGAAGTCAATTCCCCCTGGTTCTCCGTGACCTGAAAGAAGGGCTTAAGTGACCCACCCAGAGCTGGCTGCACTCTGTTCCTGCCCAGGAAATGCCCAACCTGCTGAACCCGAATCTCGAGGCTTGTCCTCAGCAGATGGCATTGCTGGTCATCTGATGACCTTTGCAAAGATCAGCAGGCCTGGGTGTGGAGGGCCAGGGAGTCAGTCAGCTCCAGCATCCTGAACGTGTTCCTCTGGGGATACAAGATGTGCATCATGGGCAGCGTGGTGGGTAGACTACGAAGAGAATTCAAATTGAAAAAGTCACATTGAAGAGTGATGCCATTCTGCCACCTTGTGGTAATTTCCTGTGGATTTTTTTTTTCCATGCTGTGGCCTGAAACCTAGGGGCTGCCAGGGACCACTGACTTTCTTGAAAAAGACAAATGGTTAGTCCTGCACAATGTTGGACTGATGACCATTCTAGTTTCTATGAAGGACAGATAAATAGGGGGCCGATCATTAAGATCAGTCTTGAAGGCCAGGTCCCATTCTAGCTACTCGGGAGGCTGAGGCAAGAGGGTATTAAGTTCAAGGTTGGCCCGGGGAACTTAGTGAGACCCTGTCTCAAAGTAAGAAACAAAAAGGACGGAACATGTAGCTCAGTGGTAAAGTGTCTTTGGGTTTAATTCCAAGTGCCCCCCACCAAAAAAAGATTAGTCTTGGAGGTATATAATGACTTCAGATAGTCACTGAATGAACAATTGTTTAATTATTTCTCTGTATCCATGAAGCAGTGCTAGGCTCTGGGGGAAAATACAAATATGGTCTCTGCCCTTAATGAGCTTAAAATATGTGCCAGAGTAAGGACAGTTTATACACAGACCTAAATGATAAGGAAAATCCTAAGTATGCATCATAAGCTCCCTGGGCAAATGGAAGGAAGTCAGTCACAGCACTGGAACCGGAGAGCAGGCTGCTGAGGGAGATGGCGTTGGCTCCCAGGGGTCACCAGATACCCCAGATGGGGAAAGGAGGCACACGAAAGGGTCACGTGGTAGAAAAACCACTGGACTCACAGCACAGGACAGCAGGACACACACTTTTCTGCTCGTGTGCGTCTACAAAGAAGTGAGCCTCCATCCCAAAGTATTTTATTTATGAAACGTGGCATGTACCACGGAAGACACGGAAGAAGAGGAGAGTAAGGTGATAACAGTAGGACTGTCTCCCTGGTGTTTCCTCCGGTGTCCCATCCTGCCTTGAGGATGGCTGCGCAGAGGGAGACGGAGGGACAAGGGTGACAGACGCTGCAGGGCACAGTGCTGCACAGGCCGCCAAAAAGTGGACCCAGGTGAGGTGTGGATGTGAGGAAGGGACAGACCCAGAGGTGGAACTAGAGAATTGCCAGGGGTTTAAAGAGAAAGACCTGTTCAAGGCCGTTCTGAGCGTAGACTTATTTTAAGATCTTCCTTTTGGGAGACGGTGGAGAATCATTCCCTGAGAATCTAGGAGCACCGGCAGGTTTCTGGAGAAGGGCATGAGTTCATTTGGCATAAGCTAAGTTCCGAGTCCCCGTGGAGTCTGCTGATCTGTCCACAGGAATCTGGAAATTTAAATTCAGAAAAGAAGCTGGGAACAGAGAGGGTCATGTGGGTCAGAGGTGATGCCAAACTGTGGGAGCAAGTGAAGAGGCCCGGGAGAGAGCATGAAAGAGGAAACCAGAGCAGGGACAGCCCCCCAAGGATGCTGACACCGGGGTGTTGTGGCCTGAGAAACAGACTTTGAGATGGAGAATTGCAACAGGAGATGTGAGGGGGCACATCAGGACCAAGGCCTGCAGGGAGTGAAGGGTGCCGCGGGGTGGAGGGGGAAGTTGAGCTGGGGTGTGGCTCCAGTGGAGGCCTCCGCAGATCCCACGAGGAGCTCTGAATCCAGGATGGCCTTTGGGGGGAGGCTAAGGGTGCTGGACTGGCTCTGTCGGGCTCCTACCAGCCGGGTCCTGGGCCGAGTTCATCCCCTGCCTCCTCACTCAGAGCTGTCATTTGGATCTTGAAGTAGCACAACGGGCATATTTACACCAAGGAAATTGCCCAACATTACAGACCTGGACTTTCTTCCCCCAGAAAACTGTCTGTTGAAATATTTACCAGTGTACACATTTACATCCCTAATCAGGTAAGAGGACTAACAAATCCTGGGTGTGGGCTGCCCCTGGGACGGATGTCGCCTTGGGCAGGGGAGCCCATCGCTGAGGACCCTGCCTGGGGAAGCAGGCCGTGGAGAGCCAGCAGAGAGCAGTTCCTGCATCTGGGGCAGTCGGTGCCTCGGCCATGCCAGGGGAACAGGGAGAGCACCGCTTGGCACCCACCACAGTCCACCTTGTGCCCATCTGCTCCAGACAGTAAGCTCCTCTCTTTTGCTGGGGACCAGGGGAGTAATGTGGATCTTCTCTGCTACCGTCTTGAAGTGACAGCAAGAGAGCGCCATGACCTGCAGGAGGCACAGTTCCCCCCCCCCCTTGCTGCACTATCCCAGTGGGGCTTCCCCCATCAGGTAAGGGCAGGCTCTTTCCCCATCTCCCTCCTTTACCACCTATCCCAGGCCCCTCCCCCTCCCCTGCACCTCCGATGCTCCAGGTAGCTCTCTAGTACCATGACCATGACCCTCATCTCCAGGGATGGAACATCCTGGTCATCAGGCCCTTCTCAGCCTGCAGCTTCTCCTGTGGTCCAGTTACCATCAGAACTGGGCAGGGACACTCAGAACCACCCTCACGGGCCTCCAGTGTGCAGGTATACTCGTTTGCACCCCTGCTATGTGAGGGCAGGCCCTCTTGCTGGTATCAGGAATCCTCTTCTTGCCAGCTGCTCTCTTGGCACAGCAGACCTGGTGGCACTGGTGGCCCCAGTGGCAATGTCCCTTCTCCAGGCAACAGGGCGTCTCAGCCTTAAGGTCCAGGATCTTTCTTGGGCCCTCATCCAACCTTTACTGAGTGCACCCCCGAGCAGTGTTCTCCCTGTTGCCCAGTTTCCTTTGGGTGGGACCTGAACCATTAGCTGATGGTTTGAACTCAGAACAGCCCAGCTGTGCTCCCTCCCCAGTGGCCCTGGAGGGCTGCCATTGACAGCTGGGGACACTCCTCTGACAGTGAGAGGAGCCTGAAGTGAGGTTCCTGCAGTGCCAGCAGAGCCTGGTGGGGCCACCTCTAGAGCTGACACCGATGCCTGTGGACACGAGGGGCCTTGTCATCCTGTCCAGGTGGACGCCGGCTTAGTGAGCCACAGCCCAGATAGCATGGAATTGTCCCCTTGGACCCCCCCCCCCCGTCCTTCACGCATGCCACCTTGTCTCAGTGTCTAGCCCAGGTTTTAGGGATTGTAAGTGCCACTGTATTGGAGAGTATTTTAGTCAGCTTTTTGTCTCTGGACCAGAAAACCTGACAAGCAAGATGTGAAGGAGCAAAGCTTCTTTTGGCTCACAGTCTCAGAAGTCCAGTCCACAGTTGGCCGACTCCATCGTCTGGGCCCCGGTGATGCAAATATCATGGTGGGAGGATGTGGCAGAGGAAAGCAGCTCAGGACACGGCAACCAGGAAGCAGAGAGTCCCTTCACCAGGGACAAAATACAAGCCCCAAAGGCACATCCCCAGTGGCCTACTTCCTCTGTCACACCCCACAGTCACTGCCCACTTAATCCATATCTGTGGATTAATCCATGAATCAGGTTACACCGCTCATCATCTGATCATTTCACCTCTGAAAATTCTGACATTGTCTCACCTATGAGCTTTTGGGGGATTCCTCATATCTGAACCATAACAGAGAGAAATTAGATGAAGATGAAATTGATTTTTGTGTGTGTGGTGCTGGGGATTGAACCCAGGGCCTTGTGCATGCAAGGTAGGTGCGCTACCAACTGAGCTATATCCCCAGCCCCTGAGATTAATTTTAGTTCACTTAAATAGCATAATACCCAGTTATTAAGGATGGAGAAGAGGAAAGAAAGATGAAAAAGAGAAAGATGTTCTCAATTCCAAAATATTGGGACTGGCAAGGCAGGCTGCCCGGTGCTCCTTACTTGCTGCAGGGAGAGGCCGCCAACCCTCTGCCACTCGGGCTGGGAGAGAGAGAATGGTGGGTCAACCACTGGAATCTTGCAGGAGAGGAGTTCACTGAGAAATCCCTGGAATGACTTTTCAACTTCATAAAGAATAGGCTGTGACAGATTCTCCTGCAGGGTGGCCCTCGTGCTCAGGAGACTATCACGTGAAATGCTATAAAATTTAGAGAAAAGAGTCCTGAGGTCAATTACAGCTGGTCTTGCCCGGCTGAGACGGAGCCAGTTTCTCTGCTGGTGTTGGGCACAGCATTCCTGGAAGAAAACGTTTCCAGTCATGGGGCCCTTACCTGCAGGGGACTACAACCTGAGCCCCCCACGAGTAGTACCAACTCTGTATACAACGATGTCTTTCCCTGTACATACTTACCTATGACAAAGCTCATTTATGGACACAATAGTAGATGAACAGGAGCTACTCATAAAATAGAAGAATCTTAACACCGCACTGTAATATAAGTTACACAGACTTGCTGTCCCTCTCCCCAAATCTTATTGTATCCCACCACCGTTCCTCTTCCTGGGATGACGTGAAGTGATACTCGAAGGAGGCACTTGGTGGCTTCTCTTTGGCATACCCAAATTGCCAGCACTGCTACTGTTTTTTGTCAGCTTTTCTATTGTCATGACCAAAATACCAGACAAAGCAAATTAGAGGAGGGAAAGTTTATCTGGGCTCAAGATTTCCGAGGTCCCAGTCTGAAGGTGGCTGACTCCGTTGCTCTGGGCTCGTGGTGAGGCAGCACGTGACGGGGAAGAGCCCCAGCGGAGGAAAGCTGCTCAGCTCCTGGTGGAGTCAGAGGGGGGAAGGGGCCCCAGAGAAGAGGCACCCTTCCTGCCTGTTTCCAGGGACCCACCTCCTCCAGCCATGCCAGCCGACCCACAGTTACCACTCAGTCAGTCTGTTCAAACCAGGATGGACTCATCAGGTTACCCCTTCATGATGCCATCATTTTACCTCTGAATATTCCTGCATTATAGGAGTTTTGGGGGATACCTCATATCTAAACCACAACACCTCCTCTTGTTCTTTGAAGCCATTATTAAGGAAAATGAGGGTTACTTGAACACAAGCACTGGGATCTGATACCACGACAGGCAACTTGAAATAGCTACCAAATGATTAACAGGGGGGTAGTATATACTGTGTGGATACGCTGGACAAAGGAGTAACTCACGTCCTGGGCAGGACATCTTGGATGAAACATCATGCTGCTCAGAATGGCATGGAATTTAAAATGTACGAAGGTTGGGGATGTAGCTCAGTGGTGGAGCACTTGCCTAGCCTGCACAGGCCCTGGGGCGTGTTTGAGGGTGGAGGATGAGGGGCTTACGAATTACTTCTGGAATTTTCCATTTAATATTTTTAGACCTTGGTTGGTCATGGGTGACTAAACTCTCAGAAAGCGAAACCACAGATAAGAGGAGACTACTGTACACATAAGCCTTGAGGCAGGAAAGAGCTTGGCAAGTCTGCCCATCCAACGGAGGGACAGAAGCTCAGTGAGAGCGGGAGGTGGGGCCAGAGGCTGGTAGGGCCAGAGGCCCGAGGGCTTCCTCCACAAGTGCAAGGGGGATTACTACAATATTTTTAGCAGGAGGTTGTCATGACCTATAAAAGGCATAAATTTCTCTATGCATAAACTCAGGTACACAGAAATGTGACTCTAAAATGGAATTTAGCCCCACTGACTTTTCCTGCACGATTCAGCTGCCTCCAGCTCCCAGCAGTCTGTCTTGGGAAAACGCTTGGTTAACAGGGCTTCTCTCCAATCTCCTGTCCGTCCTTTCTCCCCAGGCGTGCCTGGGTTTATGACCAGGCTTCCACAAAGTCCTGGGGTTGCCTGGGGTTGGACAAGGGGCTTTGTCTGTGCAACACCACTGCAGGAATGACTCCTCATTTCCTCTTCCACACTTGCAGGCAGGGCCCTGCCTTTTGAGTGGGAACTGAGTCTCTATCTTTCCACATGTTTCTCACTCTGATGGCAGAGGTGCCCCATTCTGTTCCCCAGAGGCAGTGTGACAGGGTCAGCACCTTCCCTGCAGGAGGTTGAAAACTGTCTCCATCAAAGCACTCCTTGGTCAAAGGTGAAGCTTTGCCGTCTTCCCACTCAGCATTCACCCCCCCAAGCACCTCTGCCCTCTGCTCTGGGGGACTTAGGAGCATCTTGGACTTTCAGACTATGGATTGGATAGTCTTGGGGCCCAGACTTGGGTCAACTCAAACCGGATGGGGGTTGGCTTCTGCCCACCTGCTTTCTCCACCCACGTCTCGCTCAGGCTGCCTGAACTCAGCTCTGTGCCTTCACAACCTTTTGGGTTCCTCTGCCCCTCCTCTTCCAAGCAAGGCATATTTCATCTCAGCTGTGGAAGCTGCAAATCAGCATCTGAATCTTCACATTGGGCCCCGAGACCAGGGGCTCCTGGACCTAGGAGTCAAATATTTGTAAACTCTCTGATCAGAAGTGGGTGCCTGTGCCTGTCTGCCCTTGGGTAGGGGAAGAAAGGCCCCAGGATGACAAGTGAAGGACTTTCGCTGGGGGGGGGGGGGTGAGATTGGAGAGAAAAGCAGGAAATTCACAGATGAATGCTTTGGAATCTGATAAGCATTCAGACTTTCTAAAATGTCCCCAGTGGCTGCATGGAACCTAGGGAAACAGGAAGGCCAGTGGCAGGCTAGAACTTAGGTGACTCAGGCTGTAGAGACGGGAAAGAACAGAACTACACTGATTCGTTTTGTATGTGCAAACCTTGGTGCACTCTGCGTGCCTCTAAATCTGGGACCGCCTTGCTTGTTTCCAGGCCCCTGGGAAATGGATTCTGCATATTTGTGCAATTGATAAATTCCACATCAACCCATTAATCTTTTTAACCTCTTAGAGTCATCTGCTTATATTTGTGTTTTGCAGAGGTTGAGCCATGCTGTGTGAATCCTGGATACTGGCAAGGATTGGCCAAAGAAAGCAGCTGTCTCCTGTGACACACCCAAGTCTCCTCTCCTGGGAAAGCCCTCAGGAGGAGTCTCCTTTGTCAATAATTAAACAATTCCTGAAGGCTGGCAGGCTGGAGGGAATGTGCATTTGCTGTTTGTTCTTAAAACATGTCTGTTTTCTGTGTTTTACTTTTATATATAATTATAATGTACTAATTAAAATAATGATAAGAGAAGAGAGATCAATAGAGTACAGCAAGCGAAGGGGAGAGGGAAGGCAAAGGGGGTGAGATTGGCCAAGTCATGTTCTCTGCATGTAAAAACATGGCATGATGAAGCTAATGACTATGTATAATTAGAATGCACCAATTAAAAAAAAATGTCCTGGTTTCTCCCTTTAGACCAAAGCCAGTGAGTTGCAGGATTGGAAAACCCAGTCGGATTAGCCTTGGCCGAGTCCTTGCAAGCTGTCTTCCTCATTCACCAAAAAGGAAAGATTTGCTGGAGGGTTGCCAAGGTCCATGGGAGACTTGCCCCTGACACTCATGTGCCTCCTGCCAAGAACTCCTGTCCCTTTGGTGGAAAATCTGCCCCTGCTGTGGGAACAATCATACCGTCTACAAGGAGTCTGGGGGACAGAAAACATGAAGCAATAATGCATGTAGAGTTAGTTCTGCTACCCAGCCCTTACTGCTGCAACCACTACCCCTATCACATACTCTTGGGAAACAGGAAATCCTCCTAAGAGCTCGGTGATTACACTGGAGCTATTTCACCAACTCTAGAAGAGAATTTCTTAAGAGCAAAGCATAGCTCTCAAGGTAGAAAATCAAATGCAGAGCAAAGGGGCATTTGGAAACAATAGCTTTCAGGGACCGTTTTCTGGAGTTGCAGCCTGTGACCTGAGATGTCTTTTATTTATCCTTAATAGAAGAGTGATTCTTCCTCGAGAGGGCCTGTAGGTCTGCAGTAGTGGGAAGCAAGCCCTTGCTCTTGCTTATTTAGCAATTAATCTTACCAGGCCGGATGAGCAGGCTGACTTACACAGGCCCATCTGAAAAACGCATTATGAACCCAAGGCCCTCCTCCCCCCCCGCGCTGCTTTCTACCAAAGATAACAAAGACTGCGGAGTGACTGAGGATTAGGGGTGAGCCCGTGCACACCACAGGCCTGGAAACAGCACAGAAGCCTCTAGACCTGCGGTTCCCAAAGCTTTCGTTCTCAGGACCTGCTCACCTTCTTAAACGTTTTTGAGCCTCAAAGAGCTTTTATGTTTTTTTTTTATGAGTTCTATCTATTGGTATTTACCACACTCAAAATTAAATTGGGAAATATGTGAAAACGCAGGAATGTTCAAGCCTGGTGCTCTTAGGGGAAAGATGAACCTGATGCACATCAGCTGCGGCTGGGAAACAGCACTGCACACTCTGTGAGTGAGGAAGACAAAGGCTCCTTCAGTAGAAGAACAGCGTTGACCTCAGACACCTTGAGTGGTGCCTCTGCAGGCCCCAGGGCCACACCTTGAGAACTGCTAACATGAAGAAATGTACATGGTTCCTGGGTCCTTGCTGGATGCCACTGTCAACCGAATTCTCTGCACAGGGGACCCTCAATTATTGCTGTTTAGTTTAAAATCTACAGGACAAAGAGATGATGACAGCATGCTATGGAAAAGAAGAGGATTTTTATTTTACAGGGATTAAAAATATGTCCCCAGAGCAGGTTCATAGTAAGAAAAAAATCAGCAAAATCAATGCCAACTTTGCTTCCACTAATTCTTAGTCTTTTTGGTTAAAGTG